TGGCATCTCTTCTTTCAGTACAGGATGGAGCTCGGAACAACCCACTTGGTCAGGCAGTTCAGGAGATACCTTTGGTAGCATCAGGTGAAGCTGGGGCAGAGGTCTCTGTGCAGGGGCCGGTGGCTTCTGCCTTGGGTAGCCTTACGGGTGAGAGTCGTCAATTTGATGTTGCTAGTCCAGCCTCCAACATTTTAAATTTCAATTCCATCCGCATTCCCATAGATGCTCAGGTTAACCCAAAGCTCAAGGCTAAGATTTGGGCCAATGAATTTATCGAATTTGGTAGCCTGCTTAATCAAGGTATTGGGGAAACCCGTTACCATATAGCGGTTAGCTCTGGCTCAGTTTCAAAATCACCGCCCACTTTATCATTAGAACCCACTACTAAATCTCGACCTATTCCCCATGTTGAGGCTTGGACTACAGCATTTCAGAGTTTTGTGGGAATTTATACCACTAAATACCCGACAGCAGCCCCTTCTTTAATGAAGTATGGGGAGGTAGTTCGTGACCTGGCTTCTCGTGGGGCAGACTGGCGTTACTATGATAAGCAATTTCGGTGTTTACGGCAGATGCATCCCGTGGAAATGCCGTGGGGGTCCACACATTGGGAGCTTTGGATTAAAGCTCAAAGTTTCAGTAACCCCAGGTCAAAAATTCCACTGGGAAAGCCTGCTCGGTCTCCATCATTTGGTATTCCTAAGGGGTTTTGCCACAAATTTCACAGGGGTTTGGAATGCCATGGATGTACCTATAAACATACCTGTTACAAATGTAACATGTCACATCCAGCCAACCGCTGTAATTTTCGACCCTTTCAGGCTACCAGTTCTCAAAGCACCCCCGCCAGGTCCCGAGCTCCCAACACCAGTTCAAATTGAGCATCTTATTCCTTTGCTGCATGGATATGATGCGGAATTAGTGCATGCATTATATAATGGTTTTAAGTTTGGGTTTCCAGTTCATTTTCAAGGACCCCGAGTTTCTTTTAATGCTAAGAATTTCTTGTCAGCTTACGAACACCCAGATATTATTCAGGCTAAACTTGTAAAAGAATTAGAAGCTAACCGATTGGCAGGGCCTTTTGACTCTCCCCCATTTGATAATTTCCGGGTTTCTCCTGTGGGTTTGGTTCCTAAGAAATCACCTGGTGAATTTAGAATGATACATCATCTCATTCCCAGGTGGGTCATCTGTTAATGACAATATTCCCTCTGAATTTAATTCAGTGAATTATGCCCGGGTCGATGATGCCATTGCTCTCATTCTGCATTTAGGTCCAGGTTGTTTCCTGGCCAAAACAGATATAAAAAGTGCCTTTCGAATCATTCCTATTAGGCCTGCAGATTATGATCTTCTTGGAATCTCTTGGGGTGGGAAATTTTATTATGATAAAGCCATGCCAATGGGTTGCTCTTCTTCGTGTCGTACATTTGAAATGTTTAGCACATCTCTCAACCTCGTTCCCAGGGCTTTTCCCTTTTTGTCATTGGGAAGGCGGGAAAAGGCCCTGGCACCGGCCGGTCTTCTATGTATTCTGATTGGTCAATGACAAGTACATTATTATGCAAATAATGCAATCTTGGATTAATTTATTCAAACTTTGGGATAAATTAACATTTCATGCAAGGAGTGATCATTATTAATACTTTGTCCGTCTAAGAAATATTTTTGGCAAAATCTGTGGCAAAATTCGTTAAGATTTATACACAATTTGTCAAAGGTTAGTATTATTGTTTGTTTTAAACTGTGAGAGAAGAAGTGTACTAGAACACACCTCTGAGGCTCTGACCGAGTATTTAGGGCAAAATGTGCCTTCATATTTGGCTTCGTATAGCGTTTAATACCGTTTATAATGTTTATATTTATAAAACCAAAGTCTGGGTTTATAAACTGAAACACGACCTTTAGTTTTTGATATTCTTCATAGTCGAGTTTAAATTGGCCTAATTTATAGTTAGTTACCACTAGAAATGCGACGATATTTTGTTATATCATATATGCAACAGTGTTTACAACTTTGAATAATATGTGATTTGGTTTTGTTTCAGATACTATTACATGTTGCTTCATTTTACCATAAATTGTGTTAAAAAAGTGATTTGCTCATTTGGCTGATGTTACAGTTTTCTGATGTGTTTTGTTTGGATGATATTAGAACAACTTCAATATGAAAGTGCAGGTGTCTTTAGACATGAGCCATAATGTATATATCAAAATACTGATAAAATCCGTTTCCAGCTTGATTGTATTTGCATTTGTTGTATTTGCATTGTTGCAGACAAAGTTGTGCAATGGTGGGCTTATGTCACATACTCGTCTGTAATTCCATGTGCCTGCATGTACAGTACTGTGTAATAAAGGGCTGTTCGCAGGAGTTGGGCTGTCTGGCCTTAAATTGCATTGTTTTTATGACATTTTAAGATTGTATTCATGTGGCTGAACCATCTTGCCATTGCCACAATGTCTGATGTTCAAACAGGCTTTAAAACCAGGTTACAATGCATGCTTGAAAATATGCAACAATTTCACTGCTAATAATATTCCAGAAAATCCTTCCTCTTGGGCAGATCTGGACTGATTTGTCAGAGGGGGTTGGAGGTTTTGTACTTGTGATCGGGCAAGGGGAGCTAAGCCAAGGGTTCTGGGTCAGAGTCAAACTCATGTGAACAGCTTCTAAGTCCTAATTATATTGATAAATTATGTACACTTTGGGATGGTAATGCAATTTGTAAAATATTCCACATTTTATTTAATAAAATTTAATTATATACATTGTTTTTGTTGCTTATATTAACACCCTGGACAGTGTATATTTACACCTTTGGACCCTGTAAATAAGCACCTTTGGAGGGTGTACCCATTCTAAGCCAAAGACGTGTAAGAACAATTATCAAGGTATTTGCATGATAAAATATATTTAAAACTGCTCTCCATATACATGTAATGCATGGTTCAATTCTTGCTTTTACCACGTAAACCCAGGGATTTTCAATGTCCTCCTCCTCCCGTAGAGTTCACTTGAAGTGACTGGGGCAAGGTAGCTATAAGTATAAGTATAAGTAGTTATATTAATTTAATTAAAGTCAATTAAAATTTACAAATTGAGCTTTTTGAATATAGAGCATTGCAAAATTTTTAAAAATTTGTTTAACCCTTTATAGTGGCAATGTCCCTACTTTAGTATATTACTCTGTCTGGTGCCAGACAATTTTACTCAAGGGCAGAATGTAGACTTGCCACAAGTCGACCTCGAACGAAACGTCGGCTCACACTCGCTGCTTGCGTTTCGTTCGAGGTCGACTTGTGGCAAGTCTAGGCAGAATGCTGCCACTCAATGAGTTAATATATTTTCAGAACAGTTACCATCAAATGAAATCTATTTTGCTGGCAAAATTGCCTTGGAGGGGGGTCCTTGATTTGTTGAGTCTTTTTTTTTTGGGGGGGGGGGTGAGTGTTGTAAAAAACAGAATAGCAACTGGTTTCAGAATAGGAATTGTTGTAATATAGGTAATATAATTCTAAGACAAATCATCCAAAGGAACCAATCATTCTAGCTCTTATATAAATAACATGATGATAAGCAAGCTGTGAACAACAATTACAATTCAAATACAGTAGTAAAGCAAGACTTTGCAGTAGTGAAGCAAGTTGATGGGCGGGCGGCACACATGACCAACACAACTCGGCACCAGAGTTGGCAGAGCACCCCACCCCCCTACCAGATCATGCTGGATCCATCCCTGTGTTGCAAAATGTATTTTCTTCATAGTCAGGCATTCACATGAATGAAGATTAGAATTGCATCATGTTATATAGTCTTAAATATTTAGGAGGGTCTCCATTATTAAATTAAGAGATTAAAAAGGGGTCCCATGACATTTTGACATAAGAATCTCCCACCCCACCCTAGGGTATAATGAATGGTCACTTAAAGTACATGCCATCTTCTAACTGGTTGGGCACCTTGCCCCTTTTGTGATGGAAAATCTATTCCCTACCTTTATCCCCTGGGACAAAAAATTCAAATCAACTCTCCACCCTGATAATGTGCAGATGGTAACAGCAAGAATTGAAGCAAGCAAGCTTTACTGGAGTACATACTATTATTAGGAAGCATCAATTCGCACATGCTAATTTGCCAGTCATGATTTTAAACATATCACTCATATGTCAGTTTTGCAGCTTGCCAGCTTCAACAACATTTGGCTGCAAGGAAAACGTAAACAAGGAAAGAGCATATAACACTTCATCTGTGTTTAAAATATCAATGAATAAGTATTCCAACCATTGGCACTTTATAATATAAGTGACATTCAACAATAGATCAATAACATATACAGTATATGCAAAAACATTTCTTTGAATCACTGTATAAAATATTCCTCATAAACTCGCTCCAATCGTCGCACAGCAGAGGCTTTGGAAGGGTAAAACCAAGTTTAACATCCCCAGTTCAAAACACTTTCCGTGTCCTCTTAGGCAAGCCTGTCCAGCTGGAGAACATCTGTCGTAATACTATTATATTTTGGCTGTTAATTTTGTTTAGCGAACGGACGATATTTACCAAACCCAGTTGGAAGAACAGCAACTACATAGTTCCCATGTAATAAAAGCTGAAGAATCTGATTTCGAGTACGTCGGTAGCAAAAAGAAGGAAAAATTTCAAAGACTAAACGCATTTTTAAGCCGCTCTAAGCACTTAAATTTTGTGGACACTCTTAGGTTGGCGGCCATCTTGGATTTTCTAATCATTATTATTATAATTTATTACACCCACTATATCTGGGTGTTGAAAGTCATGTGACCGGCCGGTGCCAGGGCCTTTTCCCGCCTTCCCAATGACAAAAAGGGAAAAGCCCTGGGAACGAGGTTGA